AATAATATTAATAAGATTATGTATAATTTAATATGTAAAATTACATATAATATAATCTAACACGCACAATTAATAAAACAACACAAATAAAATTACATATTTATTCGTTAAAAGTTGTTGAATTTTTTTTCTCGTACATATAATGTAATGTTTGTGTTTTAATTAATTTATACTATATTATAAAGCATTGGACAATAATTCTTAAAAACCATCTTTTATGTATGAAGTACTGTTTATTGATGCATATTACTTAAAATTCAATATCACAAGTATATTGTACGTAAGTACAACTTATTAAAGCTCTATTTATGAATTTATGTAACTAACTGCAGATAAACATAATCAAATACATGATATTTTAAATATAAAAAATTAAAATATAATCATAATAATCATTGAGTTCTAATAGAATACTTAATTATTATTCTTATAAAAATTATATTATTAAAAAAATTACTTTATTATTAAATTTAAGGCAAAATGAACAAAATAGCAATCTACTTTCATAAATTTTTTTATCATAGCATTGTACTTTAAGTTTTTATTATTATAGCAATGTACTTTCAAACTATTTTTTATTAGGACATTGTACTTTGAAAAATTTACCCATTATAGCATTAGGTAGCCTTTTTTATTTAAATTTACCCATTATACCAGGTTTCCATGTCACCTCATTGTCCACGTAGGTTGTCCACATATACTATAGTGATGTGACTTTCTTATTACAACATTATACTTTCAAGATTATTTTATTATAACATCTACTAATTCTTAATTAACAATGTACTTTTAATTTCAATATTTAGATATTTTACATGTTATTTAATAAATATATTAAATGAATTAAAAAAAATTCTAAATTATTCATTAATATACCAATATTAATAAAACTAGCAGAAGACAACTTATCTCTCTGATATTTTTGAAAAAAATATGTTTTTTTGAAAAAAGAATATAAGAATTGTTTATTTTTTTACCAAAAATATATTATCTTTTAAAGAATATATTATATTTGTTCAAAAACTTTTACTTGATGTATAAATATATTAAATTAATTATATTTTTTCAATTATTTATTAACATAATAATATTAAAAAATTGTATATCACAATTTATTTCGTTAACATTTTAGAGAGAACTTTAAAATATATGTATTTTTTTAAACAACATAAAATAAGAAGTGCTATTTTTTTTTACAAACAAAATATATCTCGAAAATAATGTATCATATTTATTTAAGAATATTTTACTCTAGACTATTTAATTTGCATGCAACTTATTAAGAAAAAGTCAAAAAAAAATTAAATGTTTTTTTTTTAAATCATAGCAATGAAAAATAAAAATCAATAATAATAATTTGAAATAGGTTTTTATTTTTATTTTAGTTAAGTCATCAAAATTTTGTGTCATCTACATCACCTCATTAAAGCCACACAATCAAAAAAAATCAAAGGGTTAACCGGTTTAAAGGGTAACATGTTACTCATTGCTATAATTGGTAGATTTTTAAAGTACGTGCCTTAATAAAAAAATAATTTGAAAATACATTGTTGTAATAAAGAAAAACAAAGGTAGAATGCTATAATAAGAAAATTTATGAAAGTAGGTTGTTATTTCATGCATTTAACCCTTAAATCTAAATTAAATTATAATAAAAATTAAATTAAAGAAATTACACAAAAAATAATAACTTTTGAATAGTTAATTTTGTTAGGACTGAAAAATCAGTATTAATTGTATTCGTCTTGAAAGATTAATTTTAGTCTATAATTGTAAAGTCAGCGTGTTTGACTTTCTTAGACTAGTTTGACTTTGACTTTGTTAGTTAGGTTGACCATATAAATATGGTTTAATCTTTGTAATTAGTAGGAAGAGAGCTAATTGTAATATTCAGATTAATAATAGAGGTTTGACTGAATTGAGAGGGTTGACTTTCTCTCTCAATATTCATATATGTGTTCATAGTGTTCTTACTGTTAAATCCATGAATCTGCCATTGATGTGAGCTTGATATTGAAGATTGATCAGTAATTGTGGACACACAATTGGTATCAGAGCTGGAATGCAAGAAATCGGATGAAGAATTTGAAAGATAAGTGATTTTAATTTCTGATTTTTTTAGTTCTTCGTGCTTTTTCGTGTTCTTGAATTTTTTGTTGATTTTGATCCGATTTTTCCATAAAATCTTGTGTTTTGGTGTTAAAAACATGATCAATATGTTCGAAATTGTGATGTGAATCTTTATTGTTCACAAATTTTTATGATTTGATCAAAATAAATCAAGATTTAATCGGTTTTTAGGTTTTAAATTTTTTTCGTGTTCTTAATATTTTTTTTAAAAACCAGTGTTTTGATCCATTTTTTCTTAATTTTCTTTTAGTTTTTGTGTTTTTGAGTATTTTTGATCTGTTTTTTTAATTTTTTTGGTTGATTTTTTGTTAAACCGTCCAAAGCCCAATCGTTTTAAAACTTAGATTTTTTTTGGGCTTCAAAAATTTTGGCCCAATAACATTGATCGGATAAGAATCCGCTCATAATCTCCATCTTCATCGTTTTGGACTATACATTGCACACCATTCAAGCTTCACAGATTCGACTAAGTACAAACCGCACACCATTCAAGCGGTAATTGAGCGGAGAAAGGTTAAACCGCACGCTACTTGATCGGATTCCTTGACCGGAGAGGTAAACCGATCAATTTCAGGTAAGGTTTAATTTTTTGAGCGGTGTTCATCCTATATTCATCTATACCGGACACGCTTTGATCGGTATTCATCTACACCGGTCACTACTTGACCGGATTAAAGTTCTGATTCGGTAAGCAGGTAAGATTTCTTGATATTCATTTAAGCGGACTAGGGCTTAATTTTTCAATATTGAGCGGACCTCTAATCCGCTTGATTTCACTTATCCAGATTCCAATTTTATTTTGAAACCGTTAGTTTGGGAGTTGTTGATGACAGTGTTTTGAGCTGTGCTGTGTTGAAGCAGCAGTACCGCTTGTTATTTGAAGCAGAAGCACAAGAACAACAACTGCTTTGTTTTGACTTGATTTCGTGATTTGAAACGGCAACAGCAACTGCTGTGCTGTGATTTGTGATTCGTGCAGTAAACGAGCAATATTAGAAGCAATATTTGAAGCAGCTACAGCAGGTTTGGAACAGCTTCTTTACAGGTTCACAGCAGGTTCATTTTGGTTCACCATAGGTCAAACTGCAGGTTGATTTGAGTTTAAGCAAGCATAATTTTTAACAGCAGCAACATAGTTTATATACATGTTGTCATCATGTTGACAGGTTCTTTATAAACAGCAGGATACAGTTTTATGTGCAGGTTTCTGTTTTAAAYAGCAACAGAGATTTGACGCAGTGTGTTCTGTTCTTGATTGTTTTTAATAACAGGATTGGAATTGCTTCATTTTGGAACTTTGTGTGCTGTGTTGTGTTGTGTTGATGTAGAGAAGAAAGTGTTTGTGTTGTTGTATTTGAAACAGTGTTCAGGACTGTTTCTTATTTGAAACAGCAAGTCTAAAACAGAATTTTGGATCTGGTTTGCAGAGGTTCTGTGCACACATAGCAGGTGAACAGGTTGTTTAGACAGCAAACAGAACATCAGCAGCAAAGGTTTATATCTGTGTTTATAACTGTTGGTTTGGAAACTGTTGGTTTGGAAGCTGTTGGTGTGGAGAAGACTGCAGCAGCAGCAACAACAACATTGTGACAGCATTGCAAGGCGATTTAGTACAGATAACAAGTCTAACAGGTTGTTTAAAAGCTGTTGGGTGTGAATCGAATTGTAATAGCAGCTGTGCTGTGATGGGTTTTGACAGCAACTTCATTTTGACAGCAAATTCATTTTGACAGCAACTATATTTTGGCAGCAAATTCATTTTGACAGCAACTATATTTTGACAGCAAATTCATTTTGACAGCAACTATATTTTGACARCAAATTCATTTTGACAWCAACTATATTTTGACAGCAAATTCATTTTGACARCAACTATATTTTGACAGCAAATTCATTTTGACAKCAACTATATTTTGACAGCAAATTCATTTTGACAACAACTTCATTTTGACAGCAAATTCATTTTGACAGCAACTTCATTTTGACAGCAACTTCATTTTGACAGCAACTTTCATTTTGACAGCTTCATTTTCTGTTTTGACAGCAACTAAGCAGCAGCAACAGCAAGCATAACAGCAGTGATGTTGTTTATGGTGTTTGAAACAGTGATGTTGTTTATGCAGGTTTGAAACAGCAAGCATAACAGCAGCTCACAGAAACAGCAGGATTGTTCTATGTTTGTTATTTGAAAAATTGAAGGAAATTTAATTGCTTATTTGTAGATTCACAGTAACAAAAGTAGTTTGTACAGCAAGTGTTGTTGAAGCGACTACATGAGGGGCTCAAGGGTGGACATTTAGTTGTGATTTGTTGACTGGTGCTTTAAGAAATCCTTGAGCAGCACCAACTCAAGATGCAAATGGCATAAATGAGTCTGCTTTAACAGTTCTAAGGGATTCATATTTGTTGTGAGTTTGTATTAAGACTTGATCAGTTGCTGTTTGGAAATTGCACAGGTCTTAGCAGGTTTTATTTTAAGTTGAGTTTAAGCTTCACATCTATACAGCAACTGCTTCATTTTCTGCTAACAGCAGCAACAAAACTAAACTGCAGCAGCGACTCTTAAACAGAACAGAAGCAGAGTGTGCAAGTCTAACAGCTTCACAGGTCTTAACAGGTTGTCGGTGAGGCTGTTTCCTATATTAAGACTGTAATAGCAATTCAATTACAGCAATTCAAAATCTGAAAAGAGTGTAGTTTTGAAGCCATTGCTGTTTGATTTTGAGATTCTGGAAGTGTGAAGCTCGTAGGCACAGACTGCTGTTTCTTCGAGGTTTTGAGAAGCTGTTTTGAGCTTATTTGACTGACTGTTATACAGAACCTGTTTAAGAAGAAGGCTGCAGCAGGGACAGGTTTTTGATAGTCTTAAAACAGTTTAAAACAGCAACATCATCCATATTTTTTAAAACAGTTTATCTTTCTAGGACTGTTTTGGCTGCTGTTAAGTTGCTCTTGAGTTTGTTCTACATAGATTCTATTTTGTGTGCTGTATAGAAGCTGTTTGTTGAGGTTTAACAGTTAACAGGTTCTTTGTGACACACAGCAACTTAATTCAATTTTAATTGTTTTGGTTTAAACTGTATTCACAGTTGTTTGAATAGCAGGTCTGTCTGTGTGTGGATTTGAGTACTGGACCAGAAGCCATCTGAACAGGTCTTTCAGATCAAAAGTGACTGATACAAAGGTGTTGCCCAATTAAGAACTGTGCTAAGTGGATCCTTCCAAGACGAATTCAAGTGGATTTTTGAATACACTTCAGAGAGCAGATAGAATATTGTTTTTAAAAGTTTCATATCTGTATTGTTTGCCTTGAATTAGCTTGTTTGGGACTTGTCTTGGATCGGTGTGATTTGGACTTAGACTCATATTTTTGGACTTGGATTTCTTTTGGATTTTTTTTTTGTTTCTTAGATTGTTTGTGTTTAGATTTTTGTTTGGATCATTGTATATTTTTTTTTGCGTGTGTTTTTCAGTGTTTGTGTTTTTCGGTTTCTTTTTGAGCTTAACTGTTCGTATTTTTTTTATCTGATTTCACTGCATAGATCCTTAACTGATCAATTTTTTTTAAAATGGCAGTTTTTTATACTAAAGAATATCGTGAGCTTAAAGAAAAGTATGATAAAGTCGATTCTGATTTTAACAAGAATATATCATGGTCAAATCATCTGAATGGTATTCTTCAGAAAGAGAAAGAAGAGAAGAGAATTTTGCAAGAAAAGCTGGATGAACTGATGAAAACCTGTGCTGATCCAGAAGAGACAGTTAGGTTAAATAAACAGGTTGAGGACTTAACTACTATAGTGAATAAATCTGAAAGTGAAATGATTGAAGTAA